TTTATGCATGCTTTTGTATAACACATTTGCATCATATACTTATGCAATGAGCATTTCCCTGAGCATCCATGTTGGTACTCAAAAATTTTTGGACTGTATTACATTTCATAAAAATATTTTAATGTACAATGTGGGCATAATTTAAAATCATATTACATACGTAAACATATCACAAGCTATGTCCTCTTTATTAGCCCTTCAACAAATTACAATTATAAATGGTGAAGACCAAAAGAGTATGGTTAATACATAAGCTGGGTACAATAGACGCATACCTCACACGTATAACTAACGTACCAAATGTAAACAGAAAGGTACAACACCCCACCTTATTATTCCCATAGGCCATATCCCATAAAATTATACACAGTATTCTTCAAGGACAGCACTCAACTAATAATCATCAAATCTCCTATATTTTTCTCATTGATTATAATTTCTTATAACATTTTTCTCTGTTGATTTCCAGGAACCTGTCCTTTCCTATCAAATTCCTACCATTTCTTCAATATCCAGCTCCAATCACACTATTTCATTTTGACTAATCTTAACTTGTCTTAATAGAAATACATACTAAAAACATCTATGTAACAAAGAACCAAAAATCACTTAATCCCTGTATTATTTATTTAGCCTCACGTGCCATCTAACTTAACCAGGAGCCAAGTAACTGACATGCTCGATGAGCACTACAGAAACCATGTACTTCTTTTCTATCTCCTAGCAGAATGTCATGGACATAGTAAGCATACTCTGCTTGTTGAATGAGTACATACCTTCTTAAGACATTACCATCAACTTTCACCGATTTCATCAAGATATTCTATTAAAGACATTATGGCCTTGTGTTAAGAATTAATCTCAGAGATGTAGGATTCTCCCAGATATCAAGAAATTCATTGCGTCACGGTCGGTATTTTATATCATCCTTGCCTTGATTTATAGCAAACTATCTGTATTATCACACTATATGTATTTTCACTTGTATATACGCACAAGTTTATTAAATGATCTAGCTCTGTACTATAACATATAAAACTATGCCTTAATAAGACCTTCTTCACAAATCTTTACATTAGTCACCTATGCCAATATGACAAGTCATAGTACACAGATTTATAATTAAGGACTAAACAGACAACATAATTTTGGACCTTACCATGAGATGTTAAACAATTTACAGCTTTTAAATCATATTTTGGGTTATCGTCACATATTTGTAAATGGTCAAATAACATTAATTCACTTTAAAATGTAGAAAGCATGGCTTAGCACCTGTGGCTCAAGTGGCTAAGGTGCCAGACACATAAACCTAAGGTGGCGGGTTAGAATCCAGCCCGGGCCCACCAAACAACAATGATGGCTGCAACTCAAAAAACAGCTGGACGCTGT